GGAAGTGCTTACCCGAAGAAGGAGGAGCTGACAAGAGCAAGGTTGGCTCATGAGGATGCCTGAGTCAAGGGCGAGGGGCTGTCATTGGCGGAGACACGTTGCACCCCTTTAAGAAGGATCACGGGTGAACTGGGGGTCAGCCTGGGCTTGAGCAAGTGGTTTGGCCTTAGGAGGTCGAGAACTACAAGCATGTGTCCGTAAGAGAACATGTGGGAGCCTGCCTCTTACAAGGTGTGCTAGTGTGTGCTGAGTGGGAGGACGAGGGGGTCGTCTTTTGTGTACTGGGGTTGGCGCAACGGCAACATTGCCCCGAGTAGTGGATTGCATATGAACAACGTATGCAGGACTTGACCTTGGGAGGTCTGATCCTGGATGCTGACTCGAAGTAACATAAGGGTTGCCCCGAGGTGTGGCTCGAGCAGATGACCCACGAGCCTTATGGTGTGTGCGAGAGGTGGAGGCCCCAAGATCTTTGCCTTGATGTGTTGAGCCTCTATGGATAGAGACTTACCAGTGGCAGGGTGTATGTTGTGGACGGCAACCGATGTGCTGTCGATGCAAGGGGCCTTAGCGGAAGTTCCACTAGAGCTTAAAGACGGGGAGTTAGGGACTTTTAAGTCCCTCCTCACACCAATCCAGGTTAAGGCCTGGGAGCTAGACCCAGGGTCTTTGCTCAAAAGGAAGGTTGGGTTTGTTCGAGGAACTTGTTCCCTAGGGACACTCGAGAATGCGAGGATAAGAAAATCCCTGATCCGGATGACTGGGTTATAGAACCCGGAAGCCATAAGTGCAGCTATAGAAAATAAAAGGAGAAACTAGCCAAACAAGTACGATCCGAGTAAGGGGTAGCAAGTCCCCAGTAGAGTCGCCAAGCTGGTTAGGTGTCTTAATCTTACCCTCCAGATCTGGATGATCAGGCGGTACGCGTCTCGAGTTTCAAGGGAACTCAGGACTTTGAGATCGCTCTCTCGAGAACCTTGTTAAAAAACAAGGGCAGGTAGACTAACCGGTGAGAGAGGAATTTAAGTTGGGTTTGGGACTTTACTTGGGCTGGCTCTTGTGGATGCCCTCTTAGATCACGAAGAAAGCCCCCCAGTAGTAAAACTGGTTCGAAATCGCCTCCCTTGGCATGTATTCTCATGTTTCTGTAATCACACACACATGGCAAATGTTATAAGTCAAGAGGGTCAAGGGACCCCACCTTACCTTCTGTGAACGTACACAGACGTGCACATTCAAAAAGAGGGAGAGAAGAAAGATTGGGGTTAGAAGAATTTGAATAGAGGTGAGACCGACACAGTGACTAAACTAGTAAGTAATTGACCTAGCGTGGCAGTAAAATAGGTTTGGTAACTCAGATCGGCTCAACAGAATTACTACTAGACGACAGTACCAATACCGACCAACTAAACACAATGGCTAGTCTGTTGTGGCGATAAAGCAAGCACAGTAACTCTGACTGGCACAACGACATTACGGCTAAACGATATGACTACCATGGAAAGCTAGTCTCGACTTCTCTTGGTCAAACGAAAGGGTAAGAGAAAGAAAGGAGAAAAATAGGAAGATTGAAAGAAAAGAAGAAGAAGAAAAGAAGAGAAAAGAGAAGAATAAGAGAGTAAGAGGGAAAACAATGAGAGAATAAGAAGAGAGAGAAGGGAAGGAAGGGAGAATGAGGACACAGACGGCAATGAGATGGGGAGAGAGAAGACTCAGACGGAAATGGCTTCTGTCGTCTATGATATGAGAAAGAAGAATGAGGAGGAAACACAGGCGACAACAGGCTTCCGCCAGCTGTGACATGAGAAAGAAGTAGATGAAATTCCGTCGGTTGTGACATGAGAAAAAGTAGATGAAACTCAGGCAGCGATGGTCCTCCGCCGGCTGTGACATAAGCGGAGAAGAGAGAGAAAGAACACAAGCGACGATGTGCTTCCACCGTCTGTGACAAAAGAGAGAGAGAAGGAACACAGGTAGCACTAGGCTTGCACCGGTTGTGTCAGAAGAAAGAGGAGAGGGAAAGAACACAGGCGGCGAAAGGCTTCCGTTGTCTGTGATAGAAAAAGAAGGATGGAAAACACAGACGACGTTAGGCTTGAATCGATTGTGATAGAAGAGAAGAAAGACAGAAAATACGGGCGGCACTAGGCTCGCATCATCAGTGACAGAAGAGAGAAAGAGAGAGAAAACACAGGTGGTGATAAGCTTGCGTCGTCTATGATAGAAGAGAGAATTTTGATAAAGACCCGGCCCGCCACTCGGGCTAAGGTTCGACTTACTGTTCATGTCTCATGAGAAGAAAGGCATCACACCATATGATAGGTCCGCCATGCATGAATGGAGAAAGAAAGAGGAACAAGGAGAGAGAAACATGATAGGCTAGAGCAGGAAGAGAGAGAAAGAAATAAAAATGAGAGAAAAGAGAAAGGGAGAAATGAGAGAGAAAAAAAGAGAGATAGAGATGAGAGAGAACAGAGAAAGGGAGAAATGAGAGAGAAAAGAAGAGAAATAAAGAGAGAAATAGAGATGAGAGAGAAAAGAGGAAAGAGAAAGATAAGAGAGAAAAGAGGAGGAGAGAGAAAGTTACCTTATCGAGAGGTACTGGCCCTTTTCGTCTCTCTCTCCAAGACGCACCCACGAGCTTAAGCAAGAATTGAAATCTTTATTGAATGGTTGAAGAATGAACCCAAGGTTTTTTACAATTAGGCATTATATGTTTATATAGAATTGGGCCTAAACATGGGTGGATGCCCAAAAACTACCTAAAATTGAAGATAATTACAATTTAATTGAATTAAAAGAAATTCTAAAAATGGGTACAAAAGGACTGTTTTGCCCCAGCCTAACATGGTGGAATTCAAGAACAATCCCTACTGCTGCCCGAGAACTTGCGTGATCTTCCATGACTGATCTGAGGTTGCTCTGATGCACGTTTGATCGAAAGATGATTGTTTTCTTGTAGGGCTCGGTATGACAATCGATTTGATACCAACTTCGAGCCATGAATAATGTTTTTAAGCCATGATCATGAGACTTAAAATTTGTTTAAATCTTGAAAACTTTGGATCAATGGTGTGCTCATTTCTTGATGTTTTTCTTCGGTTTCTTCACTGAATCACACTACGCATGCCGTTACAATCACCTGGCCATAAATACAGCTCGATTTCGTGTTCGGATGAAGATTTCATCGTCTTAAGTTTTTGGTCTGAATCTTGAAATCCGACGGCCGGCATTTACAGCAGCTTCGTCGCCTTTGTGTGTAAAATCCAACCGTTCATCGTACGGGGAGTTCGGACCAGGGATACCCTCGGACCTTATGCACATAATGCAATTTTTTTCGTATTGATCGAGTATGCGAGCGCCGTGATTTGGCCACTTGAGAGAGGCGTGTTGCTGTTGAACTTTTTGCAACTATCTTCACAAATCATCAACTTCTTTCTAGTTTTTCTCCTTGTTCAGGTATCATCACGGATTGTGCTACATATCAAAATGCTCGTCTTGATGAGACGAACATGTTCATCAAATTTGAGAGCGATCCGACTCAGGATGAGTGAGATACGAGCCTTTGAAGTTGCTGCTTGAGACTGTGCACATCAGCCTCCTTTAATGGAGATTAGTGTAGGGAGGACGCACGGGAGTAGCGTGCGGCCTACCCCTTTTTGGTCTTTTACCCATAACTTTGTCTTGAAATGCCCGATTAAGCCGAAACTTGACCCATATGGGTTTTCAACCGTGTCAGATCCAATAGCGGTGGTCCCACAACTGTTTGATGTACCGAAAATATAGTTCTACTTACGGGGTCCGCTTCAGGGTGCTAGAGACTGATTTTTCTGAAATTGTTTCTTTGTGTCCACTACCTTAAACATATCTGATTGCGACGAAACTTGGCAGGTGGGCTTTTGAAGTGCTTGGGAAGATCTTGACTAGTTTTAGGGCAATTTTAAGACTATTGGGAATTTCATTGTACGTTGAGGCTTTCTTGACCTGCTTCCTTTTAATTCCGCGTTAGGAACCAAGGTGCTGAAAAATGTGTTCAAACAGGGTCGTGTAAAGGACGCATGAAACTTTATTTGTTATGATGGGATAGAGTCTGCACCCCTAAACACGAAGGGGGCTAAGTACTCGGAATGTCAGAAAGTTTAATGAGGCGCCACTGTGTAAATGGTGGTGGCGAAATATTCATTTTAAAAACCATCTTTGGTACCAAGTTCTATTTTCCAAATATGGGATGGATTGCTATAATTTATGGCTTGGCGGTGGTAGAGAAAAGGAGATTTCTTATACATGGAAAGCTATCTTCAATTGTAGACCTATGATCTCAAGTACTTTAAATGGAATGTTGGACGTGGTAGATAAGTCATGTTCTGACATCATAAATGGCTCAGGGATTTCCCCCTTAAAGTTGCATTCCTAGATCTTTTTCATGTGGTCTCTGACCCAAATCTAGTGATTAGTGATGCTGTGGAAAGGAGAGGACAGGTGGTATCCTGGAATACTCCTCTCATTTATAGGCGTTTAAATAACGTTATGCTGTCTCAATGATGCACACTGATGGAACTTTTGGAAAAAGTTTATATTTCGCAAGATGCAGAAGATTTGCTAGTGTGGGAGATTGAGAGTGATGGTATTTTCTCAGTTAAATCGTGCTATAATTTATTCTTCCATGACCATTGCAAATGGTCTTGCCCTAAGATTGTTCAAATTTGGAAATGACCATTTCCCCATAAAATTCAAGTTTTCATATGGCTGGCAGCGCAAGATAAAATTATAACTACAGATAATTTTATGAAAAGGGGAAAAATTTTGTCAAATATTTGTTTACTCTATTAACAAGATGGGGATTCTGTTGCGCATTTGTTGATCCATTATTCTTTCACCTCAGGAATCTGACATTGGTTGTTTAGTATGGTTAGGATTTCATTGTTGCTGCCTTAGAATGTGGCTGGTTCTCTCTCAATTTTCACTTCCTTTTTAACCTAAAGGTATGATTTTGTGTGAAGTATGGAAAGAGAGAAACAGGAGAACTTTTGAAGGTTTGGCTTTGCCTTTTGAAAATGTTATTCACCTAATCAAATTGTCTATTTGGTCAAGTCTTTCAGTTACCAAGGAGGGTTGGGGGGTCTCAAAAGTTGATGTGATGGTCAATCTTTCTAACTTATTTTCTCTTGGTGTGAAGAAATGTTGGCCTAAGGGTTTGCGGTTTGTTCCTCCATTGGGTTGTCTTAAGATCAACTTTGATGGAAGCTCTATGGGGAACCCGGGCCCAGCTGGCATTGGGGGTGTTATCCATGATTGTTATGGGAATATTGTTTTATCCTTTATAGGTCCAATTGGTTTAGCAACATCGAACTTTACAGAAATGAGTGCTCTACTTAGGGGTTTGAAAATTTTCTTAAAATGGAATCTGGGTTCCACTTGCCTGATTGAAGGAGATTCTTTGAATGTTATTAGGTGGCATAGAAAGGAGCAAAAGGTACCTTGGGAACTCCTGTCTTTGTGGTTACAGATTATGGATGCTTCTGCATCTTTATCTGTTTCTTTCTCCCATGTTTATCACGAGGCAAATTGTGTCACTGATGCATTGGCTAAGGGGGGTGTTGCTCTAGACTCCCTTTCTATTTCAGATGATGTAATCTCCTTTTAGTCATTCAATAAAATTCTTGAACTTTGGTAAAAAAGAAGAGCCTCGACTCTATACAGACCGCACCTTTTAGAATAATAGAATATTTATTTTTATTCTGAAATAGTTAATAGATACATACTCTAGCCACAACCATCATGAGGCGCTCTCATTGACCTTGACTAGAGGGAACACTCAAAACTCTCGATCTCTAATAAAAAGGCCCCACACAATCGCCTCATGATCAGGGGTTTTCAGCCCTAACCCAATATGCACATATTCCAGTATCCTCACTGTTCTTCGGCACTCGTACCGTAATTGAGAGAATTGCGCTGAAAAACACAAGGCCTTAAAAGGACATAATTCCAACATTTTCCTATTTGTTCTTTTGAGGCATTGAAAATAAACAACTTCAATTACCACGAGCAACATTTTTCTCTTTCTCATGCCAGTAACAATTTTCGTTCAATTTTCGCATTTGAGCAACACTTCGCTCCCCATACACTCATATGCACACATGAATATCCATATAATCAAACAAAGGGGCCCATGCATAACATCCCATCATGATGAATCATATATTTGTCTCATATTTTTGTACAATTAGGCCTTAAGCCCCTATGAAGATGTATTATTGAGCTTAACAAAGATGTGAACAAGAACCCCAATTTATAAGGTAACAAAATTGTATAATACTATAGAAACTAACATATGCAAGGAACTACATTCCTAATATATGAGAACACATAAAAAAAAGGAAAATATTATTCCTAAAAACGAAGTGCAGGTTTCTAATTTCCACACTCCCCCTCAAACTCAAGATGAGTTAAGAGAGAGAACCTTGAGTTTGGACATCTGAACGCAATCTTCTATACAAAGCAGGTATAGAAGACCAGTTGCATAAATGAACGAGTTGGATCTTCAAGTCTTCAGGTGCATGGTGTGACTGACAGAAGCAGTGACCTCAGGAACAAACGGCATCAGGTCTCAGGAGTAGATGACCTCAGGAGCAAACGGCCCCAAGAACAAAAGATGGCCTCAAGAACATCTGGGATCGAGAAATTCGGTCATCAAACAGGAGGCCGGTGGAAGAGCCAATAGAAATCAGCGGTAGATCAATAGTTGGACATTAGATTTAGAGTTGAGAACAATAAAATCCAAAATAAATCAGGGAGTCGTAACACAACTTGATAGAGAGACAGATCAGAGAGTCAAAACACGACTTGACAAAGAGAGAGTTAAGACAGTTGAACCACGACTCGGTAGAGAGACAGATCAAAGAGTCGAAACATGACTTGACAGAGAGACAGATCAGATAGTCAAAACACGACTCGGTAGAGCGACAAATTAAAAAGTTGAAAACACAACTCCGTGGAGAGAAATAAGAGAAATCATGCCATTTCTGACACTCAAATTCTAGATAGAGTGCCATTAGCTTAATGGGAACAAGCCGAAAAGATTCGGATTTGTCCATAGGAAAGAAAATTGAGTCGGTATTTTGGGGGTCACAAAAGTATGGTGCTGATTTTTTTTTTTTTTTTCAATTTGGTCGAACAAAAGAGACAATAGGAATCTCCAATCTTGCAAGTCCAAATGACCAAAGTGGACCATCAAAAAAACCAATATGGACCACCTACGCTGTTTTTTCAAAGCAAAAGAACGCCTTCAAGGAAACATATGGAAAAGAAAGAACGGGAAGAGAGGGAAAGAAGGGAAGAGAGGGAAAGGCAGGGTTTTCTGATGGGCTTGCACGCAAAGAATGACAGAGATGTTACAGGGAAGAAAACGGGGGCAAATAGAGACAGAGTTCAACACGGATAAGAGAGAGAGAGGAATGGACTGAGACAAATCAGAGAAAGAGAGAGATCAGAGAAAGAATTAGTTCTGAAGTTTGGTGATATGGAGAGTTTGAGAGGGAGACCCGCAAGAACAGGGCTCTGTTTTCTGGAAGTTTCTGAAATTTTAGAGAGAGAGAGAAAACAACCCAGAATTCCGAGTGTTTGCGGTGGAGAGAGAGAGTGAAAGAAGACGGTGACAACACGAGAACAGGGCTGGAGGGTTTTCCTTGGGTGTCAAGAAAAGAGAAGAGAAGAGAAGTAAAAGAATCGTCATGCCATCTCCTTTGCTGCTCTTCTTTTCTCTCTCGATCTGTTATGACCAAATTGGGTTCTTTGATTCGCAGGCTGAGAATGTGATCGCCTCTATTACTTGAAAATGGGTTCCTTTCGTATCCTTCAAATTGGCCCCTGCCAAAGACCCTAGAACTACGGCCTCTGGTTTCATGGGGATTTGCAGACAGAGAGGGATTTCTGGGTTTAAAAGAGATTTGCAGATATAGGGAGAGAAGGTTAGGGCTTCAGAGAGAGAGGACAGTACAGAGACATAGCGAGAGCAAGAAAGAGAAAGAGAGAGAGATCTGAGAGGCAGAAATAGAGAGAGATCTGAAAGGCAGAAAGAGAGAGAAAATAGGGATATCAGATCTCACATCTGCTTTGAGAAATAGCAGAGATCTTGAGAGAGAAAGATCAGAGAGACAGATTAGAGAGATAGATGGCAGAAGGATATGGATTAGGGCTTCGATGAGAGTGATAGAGGGTTGCAAAGCCCTGCCGTGAAGGGGGTTAGAGAGAGAGGGCGCATCAAGCTTCTAACAAGAGAGAGCTGAAGGGTCGTTGCAAACACAACTTTTGACGTGACTGTTGTGGTTGCCAACGTTGGGAAAAACTTTTGTGGATGCAAACGAAATTGGGGAATTACAGGTAAGGAGCTGATATCAATGGTACTGGAATTTTGGAAACAAATTTAATTCGTAAGTGACTCTTATGGGAAACTATATTTCTGTATAATAGTGCATTAAGCCCTTATGAAAATTAATTATTGAGCTTAACAAAGATGTGAACAATTTATAAGGTTACAAAATTGTATAGTACTATAAAAACTAACATAGGAAATGAACGACTTTCTTAAAATGTGAGAACACATAAAAAGAAGAAAAATATTGCTCCTAAAACCTAAAACCTAAATGCAAGTTTTTAACTTCCACAGCAACTTCATCACAGGGTCAATGTTACTATTTTTCCCGGGGTTAATTGATCAACAAATTAGATCACCTGAAATTTCTGACACAGCTTGTCAGGCTATGACCGTCTTTACAAAACTCTAATCAGCATCAAAATATTTTGTGGGATCACCTTGATAGTATTTCTTGCTCGTCAGCAACGAGTCTACTCACAACAACCGCATAATATTTGAATCATATTATACTTATTTAGTCTATTCACAACCACCTCATAATATTTGAATCATATTATACTGATTTTGGGTGGTTATCAGATTGCAAATAGTTGCATGGTGTTTCTAGACACTGTGCCACTCCCATTGATCCGGTCATTTATCAAAGGTTTCAACCTCTATTAAGGTGCATACTCGAGGTTTATTTATGTTCTACTCTTGTCTCTTACAATGTAGCTATCTGTTACAAATGCCATGATTTTCTAGGATTTCACATGCTTATACACATGTATATGTTTTATTTACGATTTCAACGGGAGAACACAGGATCATAGGGAATATTTGATTTCTTTCTGTTGTTTAGAAAATAATATTGATACTTTGTTTTATTTGAAGGGAAAGAATCAGTTATTTCTGCTGAAATATCCAGATTTTAGGAAAATCCTATTATACGAGGATTTTTATGTGGCATCAAATCAATAATTATTATCTTGGAAATATGACATATCAGGCCCTTTTCTATTGGGAATTTATTTTTCTATAATAGTACAAAATCCATATTGTAATATATGTGAAATTTCATGTGGTTAACATGGGGCAATACCATATGCTTGAATCCATTTTTTAGCTTTAATAGGATATAACACTGGAGGGAAAACTTAGTGTCAGTGGAGGAAAAACCTAGTCATGTATTTAGATTCCTTGTGAAAATTGTTTTTCCTATGTTATATACATACTTAATTTATTTAATTGCTAAATATCTTTTTATCAAATTGTAGAAATTATTGGATGACATCCTATTATGTGAGTCATTAGTTGACTAATGATAGGTTTAGCTCATTACATAGGATTAACAGTTTGGTGACAACTTGTTGATCATAATTAGCTGCACTTAAGAAAGGCAGGAGTTACACTTGGATCTCAACTCCTATAGACCATGAATATGAGAGTTAAAAAAGAAATGTGTTCTCTATAAAAAAAAGAGGTTAACCCCTCAAGAAATGATAAAGAAAATAAAAAATAGACAAGGATGAAAAAAAGATATGCAAAGTGAATCTCATTCACTAAAGGGAACTCTCGAGATTACCTGTCACCGAATGGCGTAGTTTATAGCATTTTATATGAAACCTTAGGTCTTTCGTGTAATTTAAGGACAAATTTGAGTAAGTTGTTCATTGATTTATTTGTTTATTTATTTATTTATTTATTTATGGATTTTTTTTATTTTATTTTTGTATCGGGACTAACATGTGATACTCTTGCCATTTGAATTTTGATCAAGAGAAGATGTTTATCTATATACTTTACTTCAATGACTATGTCATAGACTATGGTTGTGAACTCATCATTTAAGATATGGAAATGGCTACTGTTGCTTGATTATCACAATAAATTATTGTGGGTTCATGATCAAACTTGACTAACAGCACTAAGAAAGTGCCTTAAGAATATCGCTTCCCTTGAAGCATGATGTAAAGTAATATATTTTGTTTCCAAAGTGGAATGTGATATACATTTTTACTTTTTACTACCCCCAGATATGCATGCCCCACCAAATATAAACACCCATTATGATGTGGATCTATAATTGTTGATGTCTCCTCCTAGATTTGCATCACAATAGGCTTTTAAGATTAGATCCTTAGTCCCATAACATAGATCATAATTACGAGTCCCTTTTAGATATCTAAATATCCTCTTTACCAATTTCCAATGTTCAATTCCGGGGTTAGCCATATATTGACTGGTAACCCCATCTGCATAAGCTATATCGGGTTTAACACAATTCATCAAATAGTTACAAGAATCAACTTGTGCATAATGATATTTTTTCATAATTTCCTTTTCTTTGTCTCTTTTAGGACACATTTCGGGGTGGTCATAGTATTATACATTATTTTTTATATAATTGTATCCCTGGGGTGAATAAGGAGAGAGCTGGTAGTAACCTGCTCCCGCCGGTGCCAATTACACCGCCAGACCATAGGATGTAGCAATAAGCCTGATATTGGGCAACCTCTGAAGAAGTGTCAGAATGGCCTCAAATCTCATGAAATGATATTTTTGGATGCTCTAAGGACGCTCGTAAATTTTTGTCGAATTCTGACAAGCTTTGAGTAGTTCAAGACGAAGCTCAGTTTTCTAATCCAATTCCTATGATGCTGAAAATGAACCCTATAACTATAGCCCTATTATATGCTTTCTCTGATGCAGACTGGGCTGGGTGACTAAGCACTCAGCGTTCAACCACAAGTTTATGCACCTATCTTGGTTCCAGCTGCATATCTTGGACTGTTAAGAAATAATCAACGTGGCTCGTTCAAGTGTTGAAATGGAATACCAGTCTACAACATCCACTACTGCAGAATTGACATGGCTTTTTTTTATTCTTCGGGATATTGAGGTGCCTCTTCTTCAGCCACTAACACTTTTTGGTGACAATATAAATGCTCTTTACATGACAGTTAATCATGTTTTTCATGTACTAATAAAGCACATTGAGTTAGACTATCATTTTGTGTGTGGAAAAGTTGCTCTTGGATTACTTATCACACGATTTGTTTCCTCTCACAATTAAGTAGCTGATATCTTTACCAAGTCTTTGCCACAAGATGTTTTTCAAGATCTTTACTTCAAATGCATCCTCAATCGAATTTGAGGAGGTGTAATGGAAACAACATTTAAACAAGATAGGAAAGTATATTTCTCTTTCCTTTTGAGACGAGACTGTAACAAGATAGGAAAGTGTATATAACATGTAACAAGATAGTAAAATGTATATTACACCATTGTATTATCATTATATATACAATAAAAGAACCACCACAAGAAGTGTGTGGTGCACAATTATTTTCTCAAAGAGATCATCTCTCTCTCTAAAAATTCTACAATTATCTCGACTCATATCAATCCTAAAGAGAGAATGTAAGTTTCTCTTCATGTTTGGGCCATACAATACATCAGTAAGAGTCAAATTGTCATCGGTTGGAAGCGGAAGTATAATAGTGCCCTCTCCAAGAATGTTGATGCTAGACATGTTACCCATATAATGTTTTTCAGCACCGTAACTCATTTATTTGAAGTCTACCACATCGTTATTAGTAGTGGAAATGTACTGAGTAGTTCCCAAGTCCACCCACTACTCATCGTGAGAACTCATCATCAAGAAATCTTCAACCACAACGTAAAATGCTTAGCGTCACTCGCTTGTCCAGCATCTTTCTTCTTGGGTTCCATGCAATATTTGGCAATATGACCATATTTATTACAATTATAACATTTTTTAAATTTCAAAGAAGTTTATCCTTGAGGAGGCTTCTTAAATTTCTTTTTAGATTTTGCTTTCTCATTCTTGTTAGCCATTGGTAGATAAGCTTGGTTTCTATCCCTTTGATTTTTTTCCTTAACTTTATCATTTTCTTCCATTCTTTAGTGTCCTCTTAAGATCATCTAAAGTATGGCCAGATCATCTAAAGTATGGATAGTCTCATTATGATACAAATTTTCTTTTAAATACTTTCATGAGATGGGGTTATTTTCTATAATCTTTATAATTTGTTAATATTCACTTACGGGTTTGCCAAAATCAGCTAGTTGGTTAACCATGATGTACATATCATTAAAATATTCAAGTACCGATTGATTTTCTTTCATCTTATACATATTGTATCTATCATATAATTCACACTTAGCCACATAGTTATCATCGGTGTGTCTTTTTCAATAGTAGCCAACAAATCTTTAGCGTTATCATAGCATTCAAACACTTTATGCAGTCTATCACTAAGGTAATTTAGAATGGTACCTCTACATATTAAATTATCATTTTTCCACTTAATAAACATTTGCCTATCTCTAAGAGTTGTATCATCATCGGGTTCAATTGGTTTTTCTTCATCAATCACATATAGCAATTTCATACTATGGAGCAAGAAATACAACTTACTTTTTATAATTGAAAAGTTGAAGCCATCTAATTTATCTATCTTCACCAAATCGGAAAGAATAATCTTTGTAGCAGCCATTGAAAGTAACCAAAGCTCTAATACCAAATATTATGATCAATTTAAGGTGGTTATTAATATGGATTAATGCAAAATCAGATTTAAATCAAAATCTCTAATTGAACCTTACTTGAAAATATTATCAAGCACGTCACTACGTATACATAAAAGCATAAGCATATATCTATAACTAATAGCTCTTGAAATTATCAAATCAAATCTCAAAACTGTTATCATCTATTTCATGTTTTATCCTAAGCATTCATACCAAATGAACAAATACAAAATATGGAACGAACTCACCAATATTGTCTATCTAGGGTTTATAAAGAATACGTAAATCCATAACTCAAAAACATCAAAAGCACGTCAATATCTTGTTGAAAATTTTACAACATGAAGAACTTAGTAGCAATGTATATAGAGAAAGTTAAAGACAACGATGCATGAGAAGAGACTCAACAGTGGCTCGTCTCAGGGTGACCTTGTAAGGCTTTGGGTGTTCCCTTGTGACCAAGATACATCTGAAACTTGGAGATAGAGAGAGGAATTATGGGTAGTGAGAGACAGATTAGAACACCATAACTTTCTCTCAATCCATTTTTCTTTAAGCTTCAAACTTCCAACGTGTAGGCTTTGGAGAAATAAGTTTTTTTTTACTTTTTAACACTTGGCAAAAAGGATACATACAAAATATATTATAATATATTATATATAAGCCAAAGATATTTTGGTTATAAAATATGAGGTCTTTTAAAAAAATAAAAAATGGTGAAAAGAAACTCACGCCAACAGCATAAAGCCCAATTCTGGTACCCAGTCTTCTTATCTTAATAAAATTGTCATATATTTGCCTTCTATTTCTTGGCAATAATATTTGTTTTTCATATATTTGCCTTCTATTTCTTGGCTATAATATTTGTATTTTTTGTTTATGCGGTAGCATAGCAATAGCTACGAAGAATCACAAGAGCATACGGGGTCAGAGAAACTTTAGTGACCAGAATATGGGGGATGGCAAGTTCTAACTCTCAGACCTAGAAAATTAAGGAAACCTTCATTTTTTTTTTATATATTTCTTGGTGTTTGTGTTAGTAAAAGGAAAAGTTTATATAGAGCCGAGGCTCTAAACAATCAAAATTGAGTCTACCTCAAAAAGTTCATTAGAAGAGGTTGTTTTGATTCTCAAATATCGTCAAATTGATCATCTCAATATCAAGATGCATGGACATGAGAAAAAAATGGATTTCAAGTTTTGGAAATAGTGTACTTTGTAATGGATTTTTAGACCATCAATTTTCAAGATTTTTAAGTTTTCATAGATCTGTCAATTTACACTATTTTTGAAACTTTGAACTTTATAAATAAATATAAAAATATATTTTAAAACTATCATAAAGATTTCCAGTAGTAAAACCACATTTCTCAATATTATTTGAAAATAGGCTGTGATTTGATTGTTTAGAGCCCAGGCTCTATACAAACCACACCCTTTAATAAAAGCTAAAAGCGAATATTTTCCCCATTTTTCCATCCGAAAAGACAGGGAAAAATAGCATACCACCTTGGGGCTAGTATGTGACTTCCCAAAAGACATGGAAGGCCTACGATAGGCTCTCGTCTCTTTCTCTCTACCCTCCACTCTCACTCCCCTTTTCCTTAGCCTAGATTGGCTCTCTCTCCTCTCTCTGTCTCCCACTGCAACCCAACTCTCTCTCTACTCTAACCCACCTTAAAATAAGTTAGGATCTCTGCAATCTTATCGAATCTCTACAAACGTTTTGTCTCGAGCAATTTGAATTAGAGGGTGAGTTTATTGATTAGGCACTACTTACGGAATGGTTTCGCTCAAGGGTCGTAGAATCCTCAAAATGGCAAACTCCTACTAAAAAACAGCATCAAGTAATTTTTAAAAAGAACTAATGAATTGATTCGAAATGAAATGGAAGCTAACAAGCTTGGTGTCAATGGCTCAGCAAAATTCATAATATTTCAAGGAAATAATATTTCTAAGCAGTAACTTAAATGTAAACTGAAACCCTAACTTAACCCCTATTCATAGGCTTCATTAAGACTTCTTAATCTTAATTCTAATGTAATTAGAACTAAGGTTTAAACAAACAGATCGGTGACTCGAATCGGTCACACCCATACCCGTGTCGGATCAGGAAATCAATGGATCAGATGGGAGAATCGGTGGAATCGGTAATTTTTGTCCCAAAAAGTTTCCAAAAAATCACTATAAATCTCTAAAAATATTGTTCTTTTACTTTCTAAAAGAAATCAAGAGCGGTGCATTATATACTTTCATTACTTTGTAAAAATAAGAGAATATTGAGACATTGTTTTCTTGTATGGATATCTGTATAATATTATAATATTACATCAAAATAATTTTAAAACATTAGAAAACACTTAAATATTATAAGATTAAAAATAATGATTTTCCATAAAAGTGAAACTAGAATCACATCAAAGTATTAAACATTTATTAATTCTCATCAGTCTCAACGATTGAAAATATTACTTGCAAGCAAAAGGTCTTCATTTTTTGCATCTTACAACCCCCTAGATCCCTTTGACTATCAATTTTTTATCCAAAGAAACACTAAAATGACACCCTCTCCAAAATTTGTTTTTTTTCATTAACGTTCTCTCTCTCAAACCACTCTCTCTCTAAAACCCAAATTTGTAGAGAAATTCCCTCTCTACATCATTTCTCTCTCCTCTCTTTAAAAATTCCCTTCTCTTCAAAGAAAGTTATACCAAACCGGTACAGCCAATCTTTTACTTTGATATGTCTTTGCAAGGAAAGTCAAGGGAGATAATTTTTAGAGCGAGGAGAGAGAGACGATGTCGAGAGGGGAACTTCTCTACACTTTGGGTTTTAGAGAGAGATGGAGTTGAGAGAGAGAGAGTGATTTGAGAGAGAACATTAATAGAAATGAAAATTTTTTTGGAGAGGGTGTTATTTTAAAGTTTTTTTGGGTAAAAAATTCATGATCAAAGGAGTCCAAGGGGTTGTAAGATAGAAAAGATGGAGACATTTTACTTATAAGTAATATTTTCAATCCTTAGGTCTCATGAGATATAGAAATAAAAAATAAGGGATAAAAAGATATTTTATTTAGTAGGATACACTAAGGCTCATAAAAGAAATGGCATACTTCAATGACACGTTATCAAATGACACGCTCAATTTAGTATTAAGGCGGTTGTGGCAATTAATCATGTACCTTTAATGTCAAGATTCGAGAGAACAAAAGAGTGAATCCCACATCGAATTTTCAAAAGTGCACAAGGAACTATAAAGTCTATGACACAACCATATTTATTGTGCACATGATATGTTATGATTGTGATGTGGAGTGGCACTTCTTCCGATGTTAGGTGGGTTGGACTTTTTTATTGACTATTTTCAAAATCATGGGTTTATTGTCAGGGTTTCAATTTCTCGGATCTGCGTTCATTTTTGTTTTAGATTAGAAAGTAACAGAAAAAAGGTGTAGAAAGAAAGTGGGGTGGACTTTTTTATTGACTATTTTCAAAATCATAATGACACGTGGGTTTATTGACCTATTTTCAAAAGGGTACTGTTGGCATACGGATGCATCCTTACCTAGAGGTAAGGTTGAAGCAATCTCCACCGTTTAAGCATTTCAATGGCTGAGATTGCGCACTAAGACCAAGGGAAGACCGGCGCTCATCGGTGCCCC